GCCCTTGTGGAAGACATCAAACGTATCACTGGCCGCGCGGCGGACCTCGGACAGTGCGTTGCAAAGGGCATTTTCGAGCGCCACGACAAATCTCTTGACGAAATCTTCGAGTTGCTCCTTGGGCGAGCACTGGATGACCTCGGCAAGACCCAAGCAGTAGCCCAGGCGCATATCGGCGAGGTCTATCGGGTCGAGGCCCGCGCGCAGGATCGGGCCAACCTCGGGCATGACGCAGTGCATCAAGTCGCCAAGGAGCGAGATCGGCGACTCACGAATGTGCCAGTTGTCGTCGAAGATACCGGCCTCGAGCGCAAGCAAGTTGGAAAGCGCGTGGCCATTGACGACGATCGAGCCAGCGTGCATGGCAACGTCGCGGACGCCGTCTGACTCGTCCAAGAGACTCTCGAGATCAAGCGCGTCCGGGCCAAGGTGCACGAGCACCTCACAGAGACCCTTGGCCGAACTCGACCGCTCGATCGTCGACCGCCAACGACTTTATAGCTTGCTACCCGTGGCACGAGGTGCGCGAAGTGGCTCTGGCCCTTGACGAGCATACCATGGGCTTTGGACGAAACCGTGCGGCACTCAGGAATCGAGTCGAGCAGCATCGTCTGCCGGCAGATGGTGTCGAGGTACAGTGTGAGGTCCTTGGCGTCGTTGACCATCGAGCACATGTTGTCGAAAATAAGTGCAGCCTTCTTCGTCTCCGAGATGCGGTCTGTCAAGCCGCGCAAAAGCATGGACATCACAAGCGCAAGCAATGGCGCGTCGATCAAGTGCACAAAATTCATCGACTGCAGCGCTTGCATCGCGTCCGTCGTCTTGCGGTTCGGGTCTTGCATGTTGGCGATACGAACCGAGAGAAATAAGCTCATGACGTGGTCGCGCGAGAGGATCTCTGTCTTGGTGCAGTGCTCCATGCACGCGCCGAGGTGCGCCACCATGCCTCTGTCAGCCTCCATGTCGTTGTGGCGGCACATGACCGGTGCGCCAAACGCATCGCACTTAGCCATGAGCGTCGACGCAATCGTGTCGGGAAACTGCTGCATGCCGTTGGCCAGCGCCGACAGCGGCGAGATGCGACGTTCGGTGCCACTTTCAAAGCGAACGACAAAAATCGACAAGAGCATCGGCGTGGACGCATCCAAGGTCGCCTTGGTGTCCTCGCCTTCGTCGTCACATGGCGCTTTGTGTATTGCCTTTCGGCCCGCTTGGCGAGCCTGTACGAGCGTCGAGAGCTAGCCGAGGTCACCGACGATCGAACGACAAGGGCGGCCCGGCGCAGAGCTGCTTCAAGCAACGCATGCTTTTGCGCAACAAGCGCTGCCGATGCGCCTCGAGCTCTTCCTTGTCGTTCTCGACCTTCTTGGTTGTCGCGCTCGGGTTGGCGGCTCACTTCCGCGCGAGATTTTCACAAATCTGCGCCTCCAAGCGGCCTTCTACGTCTTGGTGTACAGAGCGTCGTCCGCGCGCAGTCAATGTCGGCGTCGTCGCTTTAAACATTGGTAATTGCTGGTGTCTCGAGCGTCGTGGCCACGTGGTGCGAGTACGAGAAGGCGCGGAAAAAGCGCAAAAATCTCGAGCTCGTGTGTCATGGGCAAACACGGAACCTAGTCAATCTGTGAGACCCTGGTAGCGCCAAAGACGTGTGCTACCTTGCGCCAAACACGAACGAGCGCAGCGCCGACGCCCTGGAGAACAAGGTAAGTGCCAAGCACGACGAGGACAATAGGCGCACGGCCACTGTATGTGGCTGCTGAGGGCCGAAAGCTCCACTCGATTGAAATCGAGTAGAGATCGCATCTGACGCGCCGCCGAGTGAGAGGTTCGCGGCGGGCGAGAGGTCGCCGCGCGCCAGCGGTCTCAATGCTGGCTGCCGTGTGCAAGCCG